ATTTCGGTAATTTTTCCTTAATATAGTAAAAAAATAAAACCCCCAGTGGTGAATAAATACCACCAAAAGAAAGCTCTATCTGTCCCCAAAAAAGGGTATAAAATTAATTTCAGTACAGCGCTGCATGACGGAATAAATGTCAAAGTACCGCAGCGCTGAATACTGAAAAATGGCCTGGATGGGAAGGGGGTTTAACACCGCGGATGTCAACTGGTTAATGGAACTTCTGTTATCAGTACGGAAAAAAAAATATCGGTACTTGATACCGAAATACAGGTATCGGTGCATCCCTAATCCTTAAATTTGTGTTTTGAAATACGTGTGCTGATTTCCTGTTTAATGGACTCCACACCCTTTAATTTAAAAAACAAGATTGCAACTATGGATGCACTGATACTTACCCCCGTTACCAGAACTTCTGGTCAGAGGAAGATTTCCTCTGACCGGCAGTGCCGTGAGGGAGCATGGAGCTGGCTTCCCAGCCAATCAGCATGGCGCAGGCCAAACGGCATGGAGCCAGCTTCCCGGGCTGTCAAGAAGCCGGGCAGCGCGTATTGACCTATTTAGCTATACAAAAGGAGAACAGAAGATAACTACCAATTGGCTGAGGTAGTCATGTGACTTCTGTCAGCAGTCCCTGCCACTTCTGCTTGTCGCGATTCAGCAAGGAAAGCATAGCGGAGTATGACCTGAATGTGCACATGTCTTGTTGGCAGGGGGTAGGAGCTGGAAATCCCATGCACCTGCGGCCAGTTGCTGCCACAATGTTGCCTACAGAAGTGCCATTTCCTAGTATCTTGTCTTTTTTTTGTTTCAAATACATTTTTATTGAGATTTACATGGTAACAACAGGGGTATATACAGATGTCAAAAACCCACAGACGGGTCGTTGTGATGCGTCAGGTACATATAGCTTTCATAATCTTAGTTAATAACAGAGGGGTGAACCCTTGGAGAGGTAGGAGACAGGGTATATAGGTAGAGAAGGGAGGGATCAGGTTTTAAGTATCCTCAGTATTCTCATGTTGCCCGAACGTCTCATCAATCACACTAGAATTTCATCAGAGTTTCTCTATCTATCTCGCAGCTACTTCTAGGTAATCCGCTTTAGCTAACGAACTAGCCATTCTAAATCGGTCTCATATCAGCTTAGTGGCTACCAACCATCCGTAGTTGATACCCTGTTGTCTTTTGTCAGTTCGAATATTAGACCAAGAGTTTAAGACCAGTGTGACTCAGAGAGTTATGCGCAGAGGACGATGGTAAGTCTGAGGATATATGAGGGGGGGAGGGTGGGGGAGTTGGGATTAGGGGTATGAGACATGAACACAGGGAGGGGGCGTTGTGAGATTGGTGCCTATTAGACCCGAAGGTGGCTCAGTAAAGGGTGGTCAAGTCGGTTATCGTTGTAAAGTAGGTCCAGCACGTCCACATTGACCTAAAGTGATCTAGTTTATCTTGTTTGGTAGCCAACAACTCCTCCATTTCATATACATGACCAACCTGTGCCAACCATTCGCGGATCGTAGGTACATCGGGCTGTCGCCAATGGCGGGGGATGATTGTGCGGGCAGCATTAATGAGGTGCCGGTGAAGTGACTTAAACGCGCCTTTTGGCTTCCCAGGTTCCCAATGTAGTAGGGAATGCGAGGGTGAAAATAGAAGTGTGGCTCCAGTGATCTTATAAATTGCTTCATAAACCTTTTTCCAAAATGGTTGTATCTGGGAGCAGGACCAAAAGATGTGTGTGAGGGTACCATCTTCTGCATTGCATCTCCAGCACAGTGGGGACACGGCTGGGTACATGCAGTGTAATAGGTGGGGAGTCCTGTACCATGAGACTAGGAGTTTGTAATTTGTTTCCTGCATTCTGCTATTAAATGCACATTTGTGCACTGTTGAACAAATATCCAGCCAGTCATCCTGAGGGATCACTGTATGGAGATTCCGTTCCCATTTAGTTCGTGGGTGAGTACCGTGTGGTGGGAAATCGCTCTGGAGTAAGAAGGGGCAATGATGTATCACTTATAGTACAGCAATCAGGTTTAGGGTAAATTGTGTACTCCTCTCTCTTCCGGTCCTGTTGTTGCCGACCAGGATCATTCTCAGCCGAGAAGAGGCGTCTGTGCCAGTTTGAGGGGCAATAGGTCGTAGCATGGATTCGTGGCCCGGCAAAAGCCGGGGTCCCATACGTGGTTGAGGGAAGGAGCGCAAAGGTCATCACGTATGAACCTTTTGTATCGGGCAACAGGAGGCAGTTGGGGTTCCACTTGGTGATGCGGCTTGCGGGAAAATGGCGAAGAGGGTCCAGTGGCTGTGGTAGGGATCGCCAGCTTGAGGGGCAACAGAATTTAAACAGGGCTGTACCTTGGGCCTCAGTGATGGCGGTGCTCTTCGTTAGAGAGATCTTCAGCCCGCGGGGGGGGACTCAGCTGCTCGTGGCGTGGAGCGGTAAGGCTTGCTGCGTTTCGGGCCTGCCGGTGTTGGTGTTGAGGAACGTCGGGTCATCCGTTCTGGTGTACGATTCGGGGCTCTTTGCTGGTCATCTCGCGGTGGAGGAGTGGGTCGAAGATCCTCATACCAATCCTGTATCGTGACCGGAGGGAGATCCAGCACGGAGCAGAACATCTCCAGGTCTTCAGGTGTACGCAGAAGTGCAGTCTTCCCCTTGTGGTTAGCGGAGAGGCAGAAAGGGAAGCGCCAGCGGTACACTATACCATGATGGCGGAGGCATTCCAGCAGTGGTCAAAGTGCTCTCCGTTGCTGGAGTGTATGGACGGAGAGGTCCTGGAAAAGTTTCACTTCTGTCCCGTCAAGGAATACCGCACCCCTGCGCCTAGAGCGTTGCAGGATCTCCTCCTTCAATGGAAAACTCTGCAAGCAGCAGACGACGTCTCTAGGCATTTCGTCATTCGCCATCCTGGGCCTCAGCGCCCGGTGTGCCCTCACAAATTCTATGGGCGAATCCAGTGGCCTCTCCAGCAGGTCATTAAATAGCCTTAGAAGGGTGGTGGGGACCGCATCGGGCATGATGGTTTCCGGGAGACCGCGTACCCGTATGTTAGACCGTCGACCCCGGTTGTCTAGGTCTTCCAGCTGGCGTCTCATTGTGATAAGGGAATGAGAGGTGGTTTCTTGTTGGGAATGGAGCCGTCGGATCTCCCCTTTCTCTGGCCGTGCCGGCCTTCTCAGCCACGGTCATCCTGCGGCCTATGTCCCGGATGTCGTCCCGCAGCTCAGTCACCGCGGAGTGCAGGGTGGCTTTTATGTCTTCTGCGATGGAGGACAAGTCACACCGAGTCGGGAGATGTTTGATGTAGTCGTGCATGGATGCACCGTCGGGAACGGGGTTGTCGCTGGGAGCTGGGAGCGGAACATATCTGGTACCTGCTTGTTTTGTTGGTTTCCCTGCGACGGGGGCGTCTTCCCCGGGGGGTATTGCGGTCCAATCTTCCCCATGTCGTCTCTTCAGGGGCTGTAGAAGCTGATTTTGGGTTGCGGGTGGTCAGAAGCTCCGGAGTTAAGCGGCCATCTTGTTAGCCGCGGAAACCACGTCCCCTAGTATCTTGTCTTAACGTGCATCTAAACCCAAGGGCACTAATGTAATATGTTGCAGTTTAGCAGTCCTTAGATGTGGTTGCTGCATTCGTTTTCTTTGTTCAGGCTGGTGATCCTGCCAGTAACACACTTCCCTTCATTGGGTGAGAATGCACACCGCAATGTATCTATGGTGGAGCAACGTTGTTACCCTAGTACGGGTCTACAGAACACCTACTACTCATCTGCATAACATAGGGGGAGGTGTTCTGTAGTCCTCAGGGACAGTTGGTAACGATGTTACCGATTTAAGCCTACACAGGCAGAGAGAGCACAGAAAGTTCTCAGCTCATGAGTTCTGGCAGATCAGGTATTTTTGCACTTCTTCATCAGATATAACAAAAATACTATTAATGGTACTTTTTAACAAACCAAAAGGGAGCAAATAAGGGAAGTTAATCGTTAGGAATTCTAGTAATTATTGTATTGATCTTACTGGATTTTTCTTCTTCCATTGCCCTGTATTAGGCTCTCATTAATCGTGGCGTAAATCTGGACCCGTTGGGTAAATGGTCGAAGACCGGACTGATCATCTTTGACTCTTCTGTACCAATCGGTGAGGTTCTCATGAGTGTGAATAAAGGCGCTTTCTATTGTCTTTGATACTCTGTGTAATCTATGTCCTCTCCTCTCTTCCTAGGTGCCACCCCTGAGTACCTGGCTGGTCACTACATGCTGCAGGGTGCGTCCAGCATGTTGCCAGTCATTGCTCTGGCACCACAAGAAAATGAACGGGTGCTGGACATGTGCTGCGCTCCTGGCGGGAAGACCAGTTATATCGGTAAGTATTGGAGAAGGAAAATAATTCTTGTGGCTGAAGTGTGTGTGTGTGATTGAAAGTTGCTAACGGCGACGTGGTTTTGCCTTGTTGCTGATAGTCCCGATCGTATGCTATAATATTCTTCTTCTGCCCACAGCCCAGCTAATGAAGAATACCGGCATGATTGTCGCCAATGATATGAACGCCGATCGTCTCCGGAGCGTGGTGGGAAATTTGCACAGATTGGGCGTCTCAAACTGTATACTCTCTAATTATGACGGTCGGCAGATCCATAAGGTGAGAGCAGTATGACCATCATAATGACAAGTGGTGTAGAGATTAGCCATGACCTGTCACAAGTGTTGTGCATATTGCCAAAAATGTGCAGAGAGGGAGGCCGTGCTCCCTTGGGTGGGGTGTAGGCATCTATTCCAGGAGGCAGGACATTAACCACATGGAGAAAGAACTTCCTCTTCCCTATAGCTCCCATCAGCCCCTGCCTCCCACATATATAAAACACAACGGAGTGCTCCACAGATGTTCTTTGCTCCCCGCTTGCTTCAAGACTCCAAAACAAGTGGAATGTAATTAAAATGAATGAAGAAAAAAACCAGGAAGGAGAAGCCTGGTCATGTGATCTGTCAGTCATGTCAGCCTCTCTTCCAGCCGCAGAATTCTCTATGTAGTCTAAAGCAGGGAGAACTCTCACTCTTCACACCTACATAAGGGCTCCCCCAAGGCCCAGAATCTAAGTACCAGTTGGTCTTCACCGGGGCTCGTGATGGGAAATCCCAGTGGTCCGCGCAATTCATGGCTGCAGCTGGAACCAGGTCGCAGCCACTGGGATTGCTCACCTGGAGTGTTATAGTGCGGAGAAAGAAGACTAGAGCAGTCGGGACTAAGCGCAGTTCTTTGCTGACAGCAAGCAGAGGGAAGTCAGAAACGTTGGGTCAGCAATGAGTAGGTGGTAAGCCATATTGGAGGCGAAAGAAGTCGTCAAATTCAGGGGTCTTGGCAGGCGGCAAGCTAAGGCTCTTGCTCACAGGTAGCTGGCTTGAAGACACGGCACTCTCCACTTCAAAGGCTGAAATATAAATACCCTTTGGGTCAGAGCACATGCCCAACGTCATTGCAGGGGACTCTAGAAGTCCTGACAGGGATTCTTTCAGTTTCATTGGTAATATTGGCAGGAATTCTGGAAGTGTCCTAACTGGTCTATTGCTGAAATGACTGACAGAGGTTCCAGTGCAGTAAAGGACGCAGGCTGCCATAGAGGCAGATATATGAGCTCATGGAACAGATTGTCAAGGCTTTCTGATGTTCAGTAAAATGTGCAGATTGCAGTGTAACCAGGGCCGGTGCTAGGATTCGTGCATACACAGGCAAGGTGCATTTTTGCGCCCCCATCCCCGACCCCCTGTAAAAACAGGGCATTTTGACAAGTACTTGTCAAAATGCCCCGATGTTTGCGCTATGTTTTTTTTTTTTTCACTTACCTTCGGTGCTGGAGAGCAGCGGCGAGTCAGCGCTGGTCCGGTGGGAGGAGCTCCAGGTGGGGTCCTATTTAGCTGGCCGGCAACTGCCTGAGGTGCCGCGCGTGTCGGGATCTTCAGGCAGTCGCCGGCCAGCTAAATTAGGACCCCACCTGGAGCTCCTCCCACTGGACCATCGCTGACTCGCCGCTGCTCTCCCGCACCGAAGGTAAGTGGGAGAGAAAAAAAAACATAGCGCAAACATCGGGGCATTTTGACAAGTACAAGTACTTGTCAAAATGCCCTGTTTTTTCCGCCCTCACCCTGCAGCGCCGTAAGGCGGCCGCCTGACTTGCCTTGCGGTAGCGCCGGGCCTGAGTGTAACTGTATCATGCTGGATTCACTTGATTATGACTCCAAAGGCCAACTAATTCCTTCATGTCATACTAGGAGTCCCAGAAGTGCCCTCTGCTGGCTGTGCAGTGTTTTCCCTCTATACCTAATTCTTGCAGCTCTGTCCCATTCCTCCATCACACCTAACGCCTTCTCTCTGCCAGGTCCTTGGGGGGTTTGATCGGGTGCTCCTGGATGCCCCTTGCAGTGGAACTGGTGTCATCAGCAAAGATCCAACAGTAAAAACCAACAAGGTGAGTGAGGAAATGGATGGATACTATCCATACAACTAACAATTGTGCCGCCCTCTACTATGAGGCTTATCATTTTAATACAGGGTGGGGGGTATTTGAACTAAATCCTCACAGTAGAGGATATTTTCTGTAGTTTGTATTAGAAGTCAGTCAGTTTAAAGCGACACTGTCACTATCTTAAAATTTGCAGGTAAAAGCACAGAACAAAACAAGTTTTTAATTGCCCATGTGCAGTAATTATTTTATATTCACTTGTAATGAACCTTAGAAAATTGAACCCAGAAGAGTTATTTCCCTGACCTCCCTCCTTGCACACCATAGCCCTGACCTTTCTCCCCCCTACGGCTATAGACTCTTCCTCGGTGTCCCCACGTCTAATGCAGGGCTATTGACCCGGCGTTAGACATGATGACATTAGCTGGGCTTCAGACTGCCGGAGCAGAGAGGGGGTAAGAGGCCATGGGTGCCTGTCAAGGAGGGAGCAGGGAGCAGTTAGGTAAAACTGCTTTAAAGAATTCCCCCAGACATCAAAGTGCAGTGTGGAAGTACCCCCACTGCAAGGGGAGGGGCTTATGTTATCTTGAGACGGGCACAAATGTATAATCCATTTCAGCCATAACTAATGTAGCTGGACAAATGCCTGAGGGGCTGCAGGACACCGTGTGCTCAATGCAATAATTTGGGGAAAATAAGTAAATAATGTAATTTACTCTCTAGTAGGCTCAAGGCACACCGATGATTTCTTTTGGTAGTGTGAACGCGCATATATTACATTGGTTTCTCATATATTTTTTGGGGGGCACTTGGTATAACTTCAGTGGTATATGTTCGGCAGATGGACCAGATTGCTAGACTGCTAGATTTTTAGGTTTGGAGGTTCCCCTCTACTGATGTTCCATTATCGGCCACCTTAGACTGATCAGGAAGCCTCAGTAGCAAACAATTCAAACATTTTAAGGAGAAAAAGATCCTCCTGTGTATTACCGGTACATTACTTCCTCCTACAGAGCCTACAAGATGTACAGCGCTGTGCCCACATCCAGAAGGAACTGATCCTGAGTGCCATTGACTCTCTGGATGCCCAGTCATCAGCTGGAGGATTCCTGGTCTATTGCACATGTTCTATTACGGTAAGTCTGACAGCAAGCCTCTGCTTTCCTTCACTGCAGTAACCTAGATGCATCCTCATGGGAGGTGTCATTAAATTGTAATAAAGCTATGTATGCATGGGGGGTCTTTTTTCCATGTCTTGCCAAGGAGGTAAAAAGATATGAAGGAAAGTAGGATCTATCTTTTCTGTCAGTGGGGTCAGACCTATGCAGTATAAACCCTGCCCCAAGGAACAAGGACACCAGATGTTGCCCCTTATGTTTTAGACTGTACGTCTCTGCACAGCTTAGTCTTTTCTGCTTCTTGTCAGTCTTATAAACCCTGCCCTGAGAAGGATAGATGCTAGGGAAAAGCAGAACGGCATTATCCAGTGGCTTCACAAGGGGGGTGCGGCCCGCACCTGGGGGACACAATTGGAAGGGGAGACACCAAAATGACTGTCATTTTGGTGTCCCCCCTCTCTAAAAAGTCGGGCACTCTGCCATGGACCAAGGGCCCGACAGTTTCAAGAGAGAGGAGGGGACCCAGCCGCATACCTTATTCCGCCAGGTGAACGTCCCCTCCGGCGTCCATCACCAAGATGGCCGCCGGCAGGTATCAATAAGGTGGCCGCGCATTGACGTCACGGCGGGGGGCGGTCACCCGGCATCCGCTCCGGGTGACAACTGGCCTCAGAACGCCTCTGACATTATCCCTCTCATTGTGGGCTCTACCTACCTGTACAGAAGGCGAGAGCTCAATTTTAGCTTGGTGTCCATGGTGGTAGATGCTCTGCATACATATGGTGCTCACTCTCATGCATGCTCCCTGGATATGTGTGTGGTTTGTTTACCTCTGCCATTAGGTATAGTGGAGTTGTCGTCGCAGCCCAGTTAAAGTGTATGCATGGTCCAAACTTATTTATTTTGATAGAGTAGGGAAGGGTAAAAATCTGTTTTTTCTTTTTTGCTGTCTATGTCCCATTAAGGAGATTTCCATTCCCTTCCTGTGCCAAAGACACAACAGGAAGTGAGAGTAAATGTTTGCAAAGTGAGCGGAACTGAAATTGCTTACTCTGATTTTACTGCACGCTGTGAGCTTCTCGCAATGTGCATTCAAATCTGCAGCAAATCAGATGGAGCCAGCCTCATTTCGTTGCTGTAGGACATCAAGCATCATGTAGCCCATCTCATTCATTCATTCATTGGGTTTCAGTTTTTTTCAGCCATGGAGGCTCAGCATGACATGTGGCCATTACCTACTGATGATCGGCATGAAAATGCAGACTGCCTAAGAACACCAACTCCACTAAACTAACATCCACCCATCCAGGCATTTTGATATTTGCATAACTCCTCCCAAGAGCATCAGGGCTGAGGCTCTTGAGTGGAGTACTGAGGCAGAGTGCTGTGATGTTTTCAGGAGGCTGTGTGCAGCACCCTACTGACCCCTCCCACCAGCCGTGATCTGGCTGACATCACTGGATTCAAAGTTTTTCTTAAAAAATGTGTTTATGTTGTTGATGCGAGGAGCAAGGAGGGACCAAAATATAAACATATTCAACTTTATTTTGTATCTTGGATACACGTAGACTTGGGGCCCCTGTCATTCTCTCATATGTGTCTGTAGGTGGAGGAGAACGAGTGCGTGGTGGACTACGCTTTGAAGAAAAGGAATGTCAAGCTCGTACCCACAGGTCTGGACTTTGGTAAAGAAGGTTTTGTGAGGTGAGACCCTGAAAATAATGGATTGCCTGGGAATTGAGCTGCTGTTTTGTGTGTACTTCCCCCTAGGTCATGGGGTGCTTTCTATGTAATAGTATTGAAATCTTTATCGTAGGGCTTGTAATGATTAAAATGTTCCTGTTCGATTAATCGAAATTTTTTTTAAATCGATTAATCAATTAATTTCGATTAATTATAACGCACATACAGATCCAACTACATTGGCCTATACACATACAGCACAGCAATGAAGTAATAAAATGAACTCGGATCACACTAATCCATCACGTTATTAATCTCACGTGCCCCACTCAATATGGCCGCCGCTTGAGTGGGGCACGTGAGATTAATAACGTGCTGGATTAGTGTGATCCGAGTTCATTTTATTACTTCATTGCTGTGCTGTATCTGTATAGGCCAATGCCTTGGCTGGCGCTCGTGCAGAACGTTTCTGGGGCAAGTGGCTCCGTCGGCTAACGAAGGGGGGAGGAGTCCGGGGGACATCACGGACATCGACGTCACCGGACTCCTCCCCCCTTCCCTTCGTTAGCCGACGCAGCCACTTGGGGCAGGGGGGAGGAGTCGGGTGATGCCGATGTCCGTGACTTCACCCGATCGCCGACGGGACTCCCGGAAGCCGGCGGAGAGGCGAGTGTTTTCATTAGCGATCAAAATAATTTGAATTGATCAAAAAGTTTAACGATAAATCGAGAAATTAATCTTTAATTTCCACAGCCCTACTTTATCGGTATTCAACATAATACGAGATAAAACGAGATAAAAATGCAACATTTTGGAAAGTTGCCAGGAGGCCATGCTGAAGGAATACCAATTAAGATGATGTTCTGAAGCAGAATGGTGTGAGGACAAAATATCCTCTAAATCAGGGGTGTCAAACTCAATCGGCCCTCAATGATCAGGAACCTCTCAGCACAGAGGCTTCCTTTTCATTCATAATCTGGAGATAGTCAATATTGACTATCAACCCAGTCATGAATGGACAGGATGCCTCTGTACGGAGCTTCTTCCTGTTCATTAAGTGAGCAGATAGTAAATATTTACTATGTTCCCATTCATAAATGAACAGGAAGTGATGTATAGCACTTCCTGTTCATTCATAACTGGGGACATAGTAATCACTATGTCCTCAGTTATTTACAAACACAGAGTGATCAGTAATGATCACTCTGTTTGCTCAGTACAGTGAAGGAACAGTAAAAATTCAAAAGATTTACGGATCCTGAAGCTCTGCCCTCTCCCGCCGGAGCTTTCTCCTCCTCTGGTCTCCTGGCACCTTTCTCCTCCCCACTGGGAGCCGGCAGCTGGATTGGCTCTGTGTCCCCTCCGATCCCCGTCGCCTCTGCCAACACAAGTGGGGGAGAGCAGCGTGGATTGGAGGGGACACAGACTGAAGCTTGCAACTGGTGCCCAGTGGGAGGGTGTTGGGTCGGAGAAGCAGGGAATGCACCACCTTTTTTATTTTTTCCTATCGGCATTTTGCACATAGTACTATGGGCAAAATTTCGGTGCATCCCTAATTGAAACAGCCGGGCTTTTACTTATAAGCAAATACCTGTCTCACCAGAGACGTCAGAGCCACATTTCTGAAAGTCTAAAAAGCTTGTTACAGCCTCCCCGTCACTGGTTCTCCAGGTAATCAGACTGGTGACCGTTAGACTCTCATACAAGCGTTTACTTTCGTCTGTACCTGGGGCAGGCAACCTCGGCACTCCAGCTGTGTTAATGTTTTCAAATCCCATCATGTATTTGGCTCTCATTCTTGCAATGCCTCATGGGACTTGTAGTTCCACAACAGCTGGCGTGCCGAGGTTGCCTGCCCCTGGTCTGTACTTTAGTCCAGTTCCATCATGACTTCGGCCTTGCTTTTGTTATGGTCATTAAAATGAACTACGTTTCCCTGCAGGTTTAAGGAACGTCGCTTCCACCAGTCCCTCCGCCTGACCCGCCGCTTCTACCCGCACACCCACAACATGGAAGGCTTCTTCGTTGCCAAGTTCCGCAAATTCGCAAACGCCATTCCATCAACAAAGGAAGGTAAGTGATACCCCGACAGCGCCTCATGCAAGGGAGCAAAGTACCCCTACTGCTTGTATGCCACGGATTACAGATGGTGTGTGTCTTGCCAGGTTTTCTTTATCCACCAGTCACACCTAGAGCTGCATGTGCAGTGCTCCACTTTTAACTGAATTATCGCTACTGGGTGGACTGGCCCTTTAAAGGAGACTCATACTGAGGGAGCGATGACCACCAGCAGTGTTGGTTGAAAATGCAGTTTGCCTGGCTGTCTGTGTTCAATACGTTGAGTTACCAATCTGTGCAGATCAGGGAAGTCAAAGTATAGTCGGGTATACTCGGTCTGGGTTAGTGTTTCACAGTATTGAAGCCAAAGGATTAGCATGAGACGAGCATTTGCAGGAGAAGATGTTGGCAGCAACAGCCCCCTTGTTTTCAAATATTGTGAAACAATCTCCATCTTTGGAATGCATACTAGTCATCTGCCAGATGTGTAGCATTTAAAGCGGAACACTAGAAAGTTTACTCCAGGACATAATCCACTTTGTGTGCGCCAAATGCCTTTGCAGACCCAGATATTACCTTGATAAAGGAGCAGACATCATCAATGTGCTGCACATAGCCTGTGCAGAGAAGAGAGCTGTGATAGGGCTGCCCCCCCCCCCCCCCCCCCCCCCCCGGCCGCCAGCACGCGGCC